GCCAACTCCCAGATATTCCTTACAAATCTGACAAATTTGGTTTGGGTTTCATTTCAGGAGCCCAGAAAGCTGTACGCCATGCTCATGTTGAGGGACCGCCTTTGAAGATTAACAACCACACAGTCAACGCAGTGGAGGATGATGATAAGGACAATTGTGACCTAGAGGATTGAATTTTCCTAACTGTCAATGGAGGACTCAACAACTGGGAAGCTAAAGATTTTGTCCCAATTACTTTTATCCAACAATAATTGTCTTTAAATTTTTGTCGGACCTGTAATAATTAAACAATTCAGACTTTTAAAACCTTGTGTCTTACCCGAGGCACAACGGTCCATTTGTAAGGGTTGTTACCTCATTTTCATATGTTATCAATGAATCATGGACGTTTTTGCATACAAACTTTGTGCTCTTTGTCTTTATTTTTACATTTTTATTTATTTCAGAGATATCTATACTCTTACACACACTCACATTCAAAATGCAGATCTACATCCATTCGGGATCCCATGGGTAACGATTCTGCTATGGCCTTTTGTGACTCTGAGAATCTAATATACCAAGCCGAAGACGAAGGTAAGGAAGATTGTGAAGTTCCAGAGGAACTAGCCAGGTTACTACAGCAAGAAGAAAGGACCATACAACCCCACGAAGAGCCAGTGGACACAGTTAACCTAGGTACCAAAGAGGACAAGAAAGAAGTCAAGGTAGGAGCCAATCTGGAACCCAGTGTCAAGAAGCGTCTAACTCAGTTGCTACATGATTATGTTGAGGTCTTTGCCTGGTCGTACGAAGACATGCCAGGACTTTATGCTGATATCATGGTCCATCGTGTACCGACAAAAGAAGATTGCCCTCCGGTAAAACAGAAAGTCCGTCACATGCGACCAGACATGTCATAGAAGATTAAGGCTGAAGTCATGAAACAATTCAATGTCGGATTCTTGGTTGTCACCTCCTATCCACAATGGGTCTCCAATGTTGTTCCAGTGCCTAAAATGGACGGCAAAGTATGAATGTACATAGACTACCAGGGATTTGAATAGGGCAAGCCCTAAGGATGATTTCCTACTTCCCCACATCGATATTTTGGTTGACAATACCGCACAACATAAAGTGTTTTCCTTCATGGATGGTTTCTCAGGTTACAACCAGATCAAAATGGCGCCTGAGGACATGGAGAAAATGACCTTTGTCACACAGTGGGGCACATTCTATTACAAGGTTATGCCATTCGGGTTGAAGAACACTGGGGAAACCTATCAACGTGCCATGGTAGCTCTATTTCACAACATGATACATCACGAAATAGAGGTCTATATGGACAACATGATAGCCAGATCTCAAACTAAAGAGGAACATCTTGACCATTTGCAGAAACTGTTTGAGAGACTAAAGAAATACAAGCTAAGGTTGAACCCGAATAAATGCACATTTGGGGTGAGGTCCGGTAAACTCCTAGGCTTCATCGTCATCGGTAAAGGTATCGAGGTAGACCCTGTCAAGGTGAAAGCAATACAAGAAATGCCTGCTCCTCGTACTGAGAAGAAAGTCAGAGGATTCTTGGGACAACTAAACTACATTGCCAGATTCATTTCTCACTTAACAGCTACTTGTGAACCAATCTTCAAATTACTGAAGAAAGATCAAGTAGTCAAATGGAATGATGAATGCCAATTTTCCTTTGACAAGATCAAAGAGTACCTACAAGAGCCTCCTATTTTGATGCCGCCAGTCGAGGGAAAACCCTTGATCATGTATCTAACTATTTTGGAAAATTCAATGGGGTGCGTGTTGGGGCAGAATGACGAGTCTGGCCGAAAAGAGCATACTATTTACTACCTGAGCAAAAAGTTTACCGACTGTGAAACAAGATATTCACTGATCGAGAAAACTTGCTGCACTCTGGCATGGGCTGCTCGCCGACTAAGACAGTATATGCTGACCCATACTACTTTATTGATATCCAAGATGAATCCAATAAAATACATATTTGAGAAGCCTGCCCTCTCTGGGAGGATATCAAGATGGCAGATGATCCTAATAGAATACGACATTCAGTACACTACCTAAAAAGTAATAAAGTGGAGTGTGTTAGCCGAACACCTTGCTCATCAAGCTGTGGATGACTGTCAGTCCATGAAATTCGAATTCTCAGATGAAGACATCATGATGGTGAACAACTGTGAAGAACTCAGACCATATGACGGACCTGAACAAGGATCCCGATGGACCTTGGTTTTTGATGGGGCGTCCAACGCACTCGGCAATGGCATAGGTGTTATGCTTATTTCCTCTGAAGGATGTCATACCCCCTTCACTGCAAGACTTTGCTTCAATTGTACAAATAACATGGCAGAATACGAAGCGTGTATTTTTGGTCTCAAAGCTGCCATAGATTTGGGAATCAAGTCCTTAAGAGTATTTGGAGATTCAGCCTTGGTCATTAGTCAGATCAAAGGAGAGTGGGATACGAAACACCCTAACCTCATCCCCTACAAAGAACATGTGTTGACATTAATCCCACATTTCGAGGAAATTACCTTTGAGCATTTTCCACGAGAGGAAAATCAGCTAGCATACGCGTTAACCACAATGTCATCCATGTTTAAACTCAAGTGGGGTAACGAGGCTCCCCAGATCACCATTGAATGGATGGAAGAACCAGCTTACTGTCACGAGATCAATATTGAAGAAGTAGTGGACCAGCCTTGGTTCCATGAAGTCAAAAGGTATCTCGAGGCTCAAGAGTATCCGGAAGGAGCTTCAATCAATGATAAGAAGTTCTTAAGGAGATTCTATGCTAAGTTCTTCATCAATAATGGCATTCTCTACAAGCGCAACCATGACTCTGTTTTACTCCATTACATAGACAAGGTTGGGGCAGAAAATATCATGGATGATCTACATGAAGGCACTTTTGGAACCCATTCCAGTGGGCATACGATGACAAAGAAGATCCTCCGGGCAGGTTATTACTGGTCTACCATGGAAGCAAATTGCTATCAGCATTCACGGACCTGCCACAAGTGTCAGATCTACGCTGACAAAATGCATGTACCTCCAGTTCCTCTGAATGTCCTGACTGCTCCCTAGCCATTTCCGATGTGGGGCATCGATATGATTGGAGAAATTTAACCTACAGCTTCTAATGGACACCGATTCATCTTAGTGACCATTGATTATTTCACGAAGTTGGTTGAGACAACTTCTTTCGCTTCTGTAACCAAGAATGTTGTGGCTCGTTTCATCAAACAGAATCTCATCTGTCGGTATGGTATCCTAGAGAGAATCATCACAGACAATGGTATGAATCTCAACAATACTATGATCACCGCACTGTTCACGCAATTCAAGATCCAGCACCATAATTCTTCCCCTTATCGGTAAAAGATGAATGGTGTTGTTGAAGCCACAAATAAGAACATTAAGAAGATCATACAAAAATGACAGTAACCTACAAGGACTGGCATGAGATGCTACCATTCGCTCTCCACTGTTACTGTACCACAACACACACATCAACCGGGGAAACACCTTACTCTATGGTATACGACATGGAATTTGTCTTTTCTATTGAGGTCCAGATCCCTTCTCTAAGAATCATGAAGGATGTAGGGTTGAATGAAGATGATTGGATCCAAACTCGACTTGATCAACTGAACTTAATTGATGAGAAAGGGCTTACTGCTGTTTGTCATGGTCAAATGTATCAAAAATGGATGATTAAGGCTTTCAACAAAAAGGTCAGACGCCAAGTGTATCAAGTCGGGGATCTGGTGATCAAGCGCATCATACTGCCGCAAGGTGATCCTAGGGGGAAATGGACTCCTACATATGAAGGACCATTTATGATCAAAAACATATTCTCTGGTGGAGCAATGATCTTAACAACTATGGATGGCGACGACCTTCCACACCTTGTGAATGCAGACATAGTCAAAAGATACTACGCATAAGAGACCCGCTAGGTTGACACACATAGGCAAAACAAGGGCATCCCGGCGAACCAAAAAAGGTTCAGGCAAAAATTAGGGATAAAAAAAAAGTACTCTTCAACAAAAATATGTACTCTTCACAAGATTATGCAGCATAACATAAGGATTTTGTTATGTGTTCTTCAACAAAAGGATTTGCAATTCAAGGACGAATGCCCAACTTCATGCCCTTGAATCCCCTAGCTCAAGTATGATAAATTCATGCTCTTGGATGTTTTGGAAAGCTTGAAACATCCTCTATAACTTTCATGTTGGCCTATTTGACAATATCATCTTGGAACTATGTGAAAAAATGCCAAGAAGTTGGGATACAATCCTGACTAAAATCTGTTGAAAATTTCTCTAAGTGCTAGATGAAAGTATCATGTCTTCATGAGTTTATATCTTCAATCCTAAGAATTTTTTGAACATCAACCCTCTAAGACTACTTGCAATGGGGGTGTTGAATAAATTTTTCAATAGTTGAATTGCTTCAATGGATTGTTGAATAAGATATTAAATGTGACATGAATTAATTTGTGTTGAAAACATTCAACATGTTGAATGAGAAATGAGTGGGGGCCACGTATAATACTTTGCAAAATATAATTGGTTGTTATGATTGTTTATATTTTTATCTCACCTAAATTATTTGGAGTCAATTATTTTATAGAAAATCAATTTTTTATTTATTTATATTTTCACCATAATTCATCATTTTTTGTGTCTATAAATAAAGCCTTGATTCATTTGATTTGGACAAAGAAAAAAATTTATGTTTTCTCTCTAATTTTTCTATTTAGCATCCAATAAATTATTGTTTGTAGCTCTAAACAATTTTTTAGTGAAATAAATCCCAACAATAACCCTCTTAACACCCAAAATTCTACTAATTATCCTTTCAACTACCAAAATCCTAACTATACATTTCAAAATCAATCTTCTAACCAACAAGGTCCCCAAAATATACCAAATTTCATAATGTCGTCATCTAATCCAAACTATCGTCCATATTATGGATCTATGATGTCATATTCATCTCAAACACCACCTTATTATTCTTCTACTCCAATGGGAAATGAAAATGTTCCTAATGTTGGACTTGATGAATTTCTTGATTTTTCTACACAAACGACTCTTGGTGGCATGAGCGGTGATCATGGAGCCACTCCAAATGGAGAGGATTCAACTCCGTTTGTGGGACATAGCCGATTTGGCTCTCATCACGAGGTCATGTATTATATTGCATAATATGATTGTTGAGGATGAACGAAATACATATTCTCAATATTGGACAAATTATGATCAATCTGAAGCAAGTGGGTCTGGTACACCGGAGCCATTCTCGACCGAGGTGCTACATGCATTTGCAAATCATGTGCGTGCTAGATCTGTGATGCGTGATTCAAATGTACATCACGAATTGCAAGCAGATCTAGTCAAACATATATGGGTAAAGTTTGGAATATTTCGTGATTAAATAGATTGTTTGTGAGTTGAGTCTATTGTACTAATTAAGTTATGTGTGTTTTATTTTAAGTGTGTTGTGTGTTGTGTGTATTGTATTGCATTTTAAGTTTTTTGTAATTACGAATATAAAATTAGAGAAAAAAAATTAAAATAATATTTTAAATTAAAAAAATTAAAATAAATTATTTAACTCTTAATTGTTTTAATTTAATTTCAATTGATAATAATTATTAATATATAATCAAAAAAACAAAAACATGAAAAAGAAAATAAAAATATGAAATAAAAGTGGTGGAGTAAGGTGTTGAATTTTATTAAACAAAATCATTGTAGTGAGTAAAAGTTGAATGAATGTTGAATTATTAGGTGGAAGAGAGAGAAGATGATGTGGAGTATAAAAAATAGAAAAAATGGGTGTTAATAATTTTGTCATTGTAGATAGTCTAATACAAAATTATAGAATTCATCAAGATCTACAACTTTCATGTTGAAAGCTTCCTTTGAATCATGGTGAAAAATTGGTATGAAGTTATGCAATAAACATGTGCAAAACACTTATAAAAATTTCTAAGTCTTGGAAAGATTGACTTTTCAAATTGACTTTTGACTTTCTTGATATTTTGATGATCAAGCTTGATATTCTTGAATGTCTTGATGAATTTTGATCTTTAAAACTTAATATTGACCAAAAAGTCAAAGTTTGACTTTTGGCGTATCAGTTGACTTTTCATCAGTACAACTCATTTTTGGTCATTTGGTCAATTGACTGAGCAAAATTTGTGATACAGGATTTGAAACGTGACATGTGCATTCTTGAAGGTCCATAATGATCCACGAAAGTCATTTGAAGTATTAGAAGTTCAATTATCCTTGTGCAAGCTCAAACCTTAATTTTGAGGTATCAGTCTTGAGGAGATGGCTTGACCTAGTCAACACTTGTGCAAGCTTGAGCTTTTTAAGATCTTTATGAGAAATGTCTTGAGAAAAGAGAGGACAAATTTTGAGGTACAACACATTTTCTCAAAATTGTCCAACTTGCACCAATCATAATTCTCTCAGTTTTTGTCATATGAAGATAATCTTGGACTTTTTGGAAACCTCAAGATGTCTCTTACAACTTTCATGTTGGTCATTTTTTGAAGTCGTTATCTTTATGTAAATTGCTTTGACAAAAATGTCATTTTGTTGACTTTTAAAATGACCTGTAATGTTTTGCCTCATATCTCTCAAATGAAGCATTTTTGGCCTTGAGCTTAGAGAGACAAAATTATGGAGAATTGAATTTCCTTCAAGACAAACTTTGGTTGATAAATTTCTTATGAAGTATGTAAAAGTTATGCTTGGTCAAAATTCAGTTGACTTCTCCTAAAGAAAATCCTAATTTAGTAACTTTTGACTTTTGATGAATCTTGAGTTTTCTTGATGAATCATGATCAACCCTTGATCAAATGATGAATGTGACTTCAAAATGTTAATGTTGACCAAAAATCTTGAAGTTTGACCATAAATTAGTCAAAAATGACTTTTTGTCTAATACAATTGACTTTCAATCATCTGGTTAATTGACTGAGCAAATTTGTGTTGTAAGGCTTGAAATTTGATATGGGGGTACTTTGAGACATATGAGAAACCATGAAATCTGCTTAAGGCATTAGAAACTCAATTTCTTTTTGAGAGAAGCAAAACCCTAGTTGTAGGTCAATTGCTTAGAAGGAGAGTTTGTCTGGTCAACCCTTGATAAGTCTTGAGTAATTGAGACCTTCATAAGCATGAGGAGGTGTCTTGAATTAATTTGTCTTAAAAATGAGAGGACAAATTTTAAAGTACAACAAAATCAATGATAAATAATCACACATATAATTTCTTTTATAAATAACCCAACTTCTAAGTTATTCAACACACCCGATCAATTGAACTATATTTTATAGACTCTATTTCTTTTACTTTGTTTTTTAAATGTAATTTTTCATTTAATAGTTCAAAATCTTCACATTATTTGACATCATTTGAAACAATTAAAAAACTCATATCTAAGAAACAACGTTTAATTCTCAAACACAATTGTTTTAAGATAAAAAAATCACCATTGAAAACTATGAATGGATCATTATATATTTAACTCATTCATATCTTATATAGCTCAAATGAGAGTACCTCTTATATTGAAACTCTAGTAGTAAACAAAGGGTAAGGAAGATGAGGTTTAGTAATGTATGGATTAATATGGAGAAGAAGAACTAGGAAAACCAGATTTGTTAACATGCAAAATCTATCATTAAAGATTATAATACTCCATCAATGAGTTCTATTATAAACCATCGATGCCAATTTTTTTGGTGTAAAAAAAGTGTTGTTACTTCCATCAATGAAGAAAAATCAATGAAAAACACACCACCTAGATTTTTGTTTCCCTCCAATCCAACCCCGAAACACACTCAACTCACTCTTCTTATCCTTTTACTACACACACATATATCCGTCTCTTCTCTACTATAAAATCAATATCACTCCCCCCTTCTTCTCACTTCTTCTTCAATTCCTCACAAACCCAAACCAATCAAACAATTTCCCAATTCCCACAAAACCCTAACCCTATGGAACTTTCTCGTCTCTCACTTTCCGACAACCACTTCTTCTTATCCTCACCAATCCACCGTTCTCCCCGGACTCGCCCACTCCCCGCGTTGCCCGCATTCTTCACTACCCGCCGCCGCCGGAGAGGTTTATGCTCCGCCTCAAATTCCGACACTCTAGTCGCCGCTGCCGCCAAGAAACACGGAGACGATGACACTGACTTGAAGACGTGGATGCATAAGAATGGCCTCCCTCCCTGTAAGGTTGTTCTCAAGGATAAACCCTCGCTTGATGATAGTCTTAAGCCTATTCACTATGTTGCTGCTAGCGAAGATCTTCAGGTTTGTTTCTTTCACGTGTTTTCATTTTTCAATTTCATTCTGCTCTTGTTTCTTGATAATGACTTAAGAAATGAAAAGGATTGAATGAAATTTACCTTCTTGTTGATCGGATATGCTTTCTATTTGAAATTTTTGGTGCATTTTTACTGATAGAAAATGGTTTACATTGACTATGCATATATTCTAAATCTTGTTTAATGAGTTTGGTTGTATGATTTGTAGAAGGGGGATGTTGCATTCTCGATTCCAAGTTCGTTGGTTGTCACTCTCGAGCGTGTCTTGGGAAACGAGACTATTGGTAATTATGCAGTTCTTGTGAACTCTTTCTGTTATGTCTTGTGTAGTGTTTCATTTCATTATTGTACAAGAATGTGATTTGCGCAGCTTTTGCTTAATTTTTGTTGATTTAAAAGATGGGAATTTAAATCGTCTGAAAACAAGAAGGTGTTTGATACAGTACATTCTTTTGATTGATATATAGTTTTAGTCCTTATATTGTTTATATTCATTTTTAAGTTGGTCTAAAAACAAGAAGGTGTTTGATACAGTACATTCTTTTGATTGATATATAGTTTTAGTCCTTATATTGTTTATATTCATTTTTAAGTTGGTCCTTGTATGATTATTTATTTAAGTAAATAAATTGTTCTCTATTTTATAACCCTGGGATGAACTTTTGTAATGTCAATGTAGAGTACAACAAGGGTTGAATTGAAAAATGATTGTAGTGTCCTTATATGTGACAATCATTTTTATTTTAGTTATTTTACTTTAGTGTGTTATTGTTCCAAGTCTCTAGTGATGGTGTTGAGCAGAAACAGACGGCGATGCAAAGGGTGATTTTTGTTCAGTTCCTACTTAGTGAATTGATTAGTTTGTCATTTTGTGTTTCAGTTATAGCAAAAATTGTGTATATCCTGTTTTAAAATTTGAATGCTAGGTTTACTGAAGCATTTTAAAATTTGAAATTATATATCCTGTTTTTGTCCTTATTGCAGCTGAGCTATTGACGACAAACAAGTTTTCCGAATTGGCATGCTTGGCCTTGTATCTGATGTATGAGAAAAAAACAGGGGAAGAAATCTTTCTGGTATCCATACATTAGGGAGCTGGATCGGCAACGAGGCAGGGGACAACTGGCAGTGGAATCACCTCTTCTATGGTCCGAATCTGAGCTGGCATACCTTGAAGGAAGCCCATTGAAGGTTTTCTGCCTCCCTCCTCCTAATTAATGCTGAACACTAAATCCATTACTACTAATACTTAAAATATTAGGTTGTTTAATGCTAAATATTTTTCAAATAAATTCAGACTAACTTCTGGTGGCTGTAATTTAGGATGAAATTGTTAAAAGGATTGAAGAAATAAGAAAAGAGTATAATGAACTAGACTTAGTCTGGTTTATGTCTGGTTCGCTGTTTCAGGTAATTAAACACACACTTGAACTTTTCCAGTATATATTTACATAAGTCATTTAGTGCTTACTTTATATGTATAATGCAGCAATACCCATACGACATTCCTACCGAGGCTTTTCCATTTGAAATTTTCAAACAAGCTTTCGCAGCAGTTCAGTCATGTGTTGTGCATTTACAGGTAAGATTTACTCACCAGTTACATATCTATATAGATAAGAATGTTCTCAAGAAAACTTCAGAGTATATAATGGCTAACCAGTTGATGAAATCAGTATCAGCTCTACTTTTTTGCATGTCACATTTAGCAATTATAAATACCTCAATCTGAAATGGCATAATCATTTATGATACAATTAAACATTAGGTCGTTGAGCTCTAAACCTGAATTTATTCTTTCTAGTTTGCAAATATATTTAATTGATAGTTGGGTATGGTGAAGTGGTGATCTAATTTAAATAGAAAATTTTAGTATTGGATATTCCTTACTTTTGCATATACACTAATATCCTTATAATCTTTGGCTAGTTGTAACCATTATATTTCCAACACATGATATGATGATACATGCATATTATGCATTTATGTATGTATTTATGTAATCTTCCTTCTCTTTCAACAACTTGCCCTCTTGATCAATAATGTGCGCATTTTGATTGTCTGTTTTTTGAAATCAGAATGTTAGTTTAGCTCGGAGATTTGCTCCTGGTTCCCCTGGGACCTCCTTTGTTGGCCTACTGTAGCAATTGCAGGGCGATGTTATCTGCGGTTGATGGTGCTGTCGAGCTTGTGGTTGATCGCCCCTATAAAGCCGGTGACCCAATTGTTGTGTGGTATAATGCTTGCTTCTTTTGATAGCATATAATTTTTTTAAAAAGGATGTAGTTATTTCTGTATTAGTAGCTTCAAATAAGATTTGTAGTTGATCGTCTTTAGGTGTGGCCCACAACCTAACACAAAGTTGCTTACAAACTATGGTTTTGTTGACGATGACAATCCAATGATCGTCTCATAGTTGAGGTAACGTTGGACATTCTCTTTGTTTGCATCCAGTGTTTTTCTGTTTCAATTCAAATTTAACCTTGCTGATACAACGTCTCAGGCGGCTTTGAGTACCGAAGATCCACAATATCAAGAAAAAAGAATGGTTGCTCAAAGAAATGGAAAATTATCAATTCAAACTTTTAATGTATTGATACTAAACCCCTTAATTTAATTGAAGGTTGTCTGGAGATTCTTCTCATTAATTTCTTAGCTCAACATTGGTGCAGGTGTATACTGGGAAGGAAAGGGAAGCTGTCTTAGATATGATTCCATATCTGCGTTTAGGCTATGTTTCAGATCCTTCTGAGATGCAATCTGTCATCTCCTCTGAAGGCCCAGTTTGTCCTGTAAGTTTGTTTCTTGTTCTTTATTATCCGATTTGAGGAATTTTAAGAATACCTATTTTGCTTTCTTGACTTGAGGCTCTGATCTGATTGTGAAACATTGTAATAAATGAAATATTGTATTAAAAATTGTTAAAAATCATCTAATCTAAGAAAAAGAGAGTAAATCTTGTGATGTGAAAAGTTGACTCTAATTATTCATTCTAGATGAGTCCATGTATGGAGCGGGCCGTGCTGGACCAGCTTGCTGATTATTTCAATTCCCGGTTGGCTGCCTACCCTACAACCTTGGCTGAAGATGAATCCATGGTACTATTTGTTTGAATTCGAAATTGACCAATATTTATCAACTTTTAACTTATAATTTATATATTGCTTTAGCTGGCAGATGTTAGTTTGAATCCAAAGAGGCGAGTTGCTACTCAACTTGTAAGGCTAGAAAGAAAACGCTTCATGCATGTTTGCAGGCAATCACGGATTTCATAAACCAGCTACCAGACCACAGTGTATCACCATGCCCTGCTCCTTATGCACCTTCATTAAAAATAAAAGGTCCAACTCTCTCCCTCCCTCTTTTTTTCTTGAACTTTGCAGTAATTCCTGAATTATTTTGTCATCTGCTTTTTAGGATCTGGATAGTATGTTCAGTACAGTATGGATAATATGATCCAGTTAAGTAAAATTGATTTTTTTAT